AACCTTCTGTTTTTACGACTGGAAGAAGGCTTTGAAATTCTTCTCCGGATTTGGTTGAGAAGAATATATTGGAAAACATATTTCAAATGGAAGACCTTTTTTATCCTTCCTTGAAAATTAGAATTAAACGAACTGGAACCTAACATCTCTCACCAACATGTGTGGGATTTACAGAACTATTTCAGTCAATCGGCAGATTTTCTGTTTAATGGCAATCAATAGCGCTGAGGCGTATTGATATCTAGCTTAAATAAAATATACTCAAGGAAAAAAATAAATAACAAGATTGTCTTGTGACCGAACATCAAATCGAACGAACTCCAACTTTGAAAGTTCAAGATAATTATAATAAATTTTCTATAAACATAGATAATTGATTTGACTGCTTAAGAAAACCAGCCAAAGTTATGGACAGAAATTATACAATTACCCTCGTCATCAGGCAAATGTTTAAGAGTATATTAAATTTCGTTGAAATTAAACTGACATTTTTGGAGACACAATGAGTTTTATTCGCACAACAAACTTTAAAATAGAGTTGTTTCCTACTTAGGTTTCATTTTGTTGGTTAGTCCACCATAAAATCTTATTTTACCCTGCTTGGAGAAAATCTGAAAATCCATGTAGCGTATCAATCAGGCTCCAGCCTTGTAAATCTTTACTTTGCTATCGATTGGAGGTCGTTAACTCTTAAAATGAAAGATATAAACTATCAGCTATGGTCAACCATTTTCTAAAATCTTTAATCATTAAAATGGCCTACAGCGAATGAAGTCAGTAGATTTTAAAGAACTATCCTTCATCAAATGTCATAGTTTGGCGCTATAAGAACTTTACCAAATAACAGACAGCACATCACTTGAAGACTTCCAAAAGTAGTAACACCTAAAACAGGTAACATTTGTAGCTAATATGAAAAATAATGGCATAATTAAAATAACTTTATGAATTATCTTCAAAAAAAGTTTAAGAAAGAAACACCCGTCAGTAATGCAAAAAAGTTTGAGAAATTTATTTTCCTGAAAGACTATTTCAAGCGAATGATTTTATAGGCTTCGACTGATAGTAAGTCTAACTGATGGGTTAGTGAATGCCGAATGTTCTTTATGAAGGAAAAGGTTAATGTCTTCATAACCATAATATATAAAAAAATGAGTAATTCTTTTTGTCAACAGACTATGGGGGATTAGGATTCATGCAAGAATATGATGATATGATAGGATCAACAGAAATAGACTGAAAACCTCATATACACATTTGGATGAAGTCTGGAGGAAATCTAATCGTTAGATTGAGATGTATTCTGACATCTACCAACGGTCCCGTCCTGGGTATGACGATAAACTACGTCCAACAGCAAGGCCTCTGATCAGGACGTTTTGAGGAGCATGGAAACATCCTCTTAATTGCTGGTGTTCCCAGATCGACCCGGAATCGGGGAGGTAGCACTTGTTAGGGTCCCAGCTATGGGTAGAAACCGGCCGTATAAACGCTATGAATGTGTAAAAACGGGTTTTCATATCAGAAATACTTTGTAGAAAAATATTTCCAGCAATAAATTTTTGAAGAAAAAAAAAAAAAAAACTATTACCGGCTATACATTTTCGAGGAAAAAAATATTACCAGCAATAATTTAATGCAAAAAAAATGATTAAAGCAAAACAATTTTTGAAAGAAAAAAAGATACCAGAAATAGATTATCTATAAAACAAAATATTACCAGCAATGAAAATTTTATCGGCATTAAATAACCAATTGGCTAAACCGAGCAGTAAAACAAACCAAATGTCTCATAACAGGAATTTCCATTGAAACTGATCAATAGAATGTTTTATTAGTCATGAAGCGTTTACTAATTGAGAATTGACCAATTGAGATATGGCAGAGTAATAAATTACCAATGCCATATGATTACGATCGGATCAACTATACAGAGTTTAACAGCAAAATTGTCCAAATTGTGTAACAACAAAATTGTCCAACAGCAAAATTGTCCAAATTGTGTAACAGCAAAATTGTCCAAATTGTTTAACAGCAAAATTGTTCAAATTGTGTAACAGCAAAATTGTTCAAATTGTGTAACAGCAAAATTGTCCATACTACAAAACAGTATAATTGTTCGTCCTACAAAACGTTTAATATCTAAAAAAGCCTAAACTAAATGAGTTTCTTTTTTCCACGTTTTCAGATAAGACGTTTAGCTATCTGTACACCATTTGTCATAAGAATCACTGAAAAACACTGAATTATTCAGCTAGAAAAAGAACATGTAAAAATCGTTTGAGGTCAAGCCCGCTGTCTTCCCAAGTGAGCAATGGTGATAGGAAAATATCATTCAGGTCTACAGTGATGGTACCAACATTCATACTCTGCCTTCCATGTTCAAAATCCATTCAAATACCATCGACAGAACGGTGAATAAGTTTAAAAAAAAAAAGCGAACAGTAGAGGAAAATGGATCAGGGGGTCACAACAGAAAAAGGGATCATCTTTTTAACTTAGAGCTAAAGGGATCAATTAGGAAAGATCCAACTCAATCTATAAGAGGTATGGCACGTGAGAGAGAGAGGAGTGTCACCTATGACAGTTCAAAGAGCAGTGAAAAATAAAGAGTTGAAAATGATATCGTACGTGAAACCTGTGAGGCACCTTATTACGCCAGGACAGAAAGAAGGTTAGACAGGGCGAAGTTCATCTTCAATAAGATAGAATATGATCTCGTAATATATATATATATATATATATATATATATATATATATATATATATATATATATATATATATACAGTAGTAATCCGTAGGTATATTCCAAGAGGGCCCTATTAACACAATATAGAATATTATATATTAAAAACTGACTCACAAATTGCGCTCAATGTTCATTTTCATTAAAAAGAGCAAGCTATTTCATACATTTGGAGTTAAGAACCTCTTCAACACACTGACACCATAAATAGTCTGAAAAATACTGTGAATTTTAAATATGAAATTCGCGGGTGAAAATGAACATTCACTAATAGTATCTTAATTCCAGTTGTATGAAATTATATATATATATATATATATATATATATATATTATATATATATATATCTTTGAACTTTTTTTCAATCCTTAATGGGTTATAATTAATTAATCAGAGTATTTACTAGTGTTTATGTTAAGGTGGGTTTCGTGAGCAGATTTAATCGTTCGGACAAGAACTTTGAAGATTTGTTGTTTGTAAACAGTAATTTGAACTTTGCTAACCAGACACTTTCTCTTCCGCCGAGTTGTATAACACGTCAGATCAGTTGACTGTTCCGTATATGACAAAGGTGCTATTCCTGTCAGAGAACGCCTATTTTCTACGAAACTTCTCAAATATTCAGGCCGGTAAATGTAATTAATACTGTTCATTGAAAAAAAAAAAAAAAAAGAGCATTTACTTAATTTTATCCATTAAAAATAACGTATAAACAGAAAATATATTAAATAATTGTCGCACTTAACCCATTATATATATATATATATATATATATATATATATATATATTTATTCAGTTGTATGTATATGAGTTTGTGGCCCTGGGTTTCATTCATTTGCGATCATCAAACAAACACGTGAGAAAATATATATATATATATATATATATATATATATATGTGTGTGTGTATATATATACACACACACACAACACGTATGAGGGAGAGATTTCAATTTTAACTTTGAAACGTCATTACTATTCCCTAAATACCTGAAAGTTTTATATTCTTCGCCATGAAGAGGCTCTAAGGTAAGCCCTACAACATCTTTGCACATCAGAACCACTGACAGCCCCAGCCAGAAGACAGAAAATTATTTCTGTAGTGCTTTTAAGTGCCGTCTGTTAATCTTTTTCTGGAAGTGTTCCGCCATTTTCAACAGCTGGAACACATTTCCGGTATCTGTAACTAGATGGGGTTCGGGTCGATAGTCGCTACCGCTGCCATCCGTGAAATCGAATCATGTGGCGACAGCTTCTAAAATTAATTATTGGTTAGAAATTTCAATTTCCGTTTACCCATTCACTTGAGACTGTTAAGTTTTCCCGGCGTAAAGCCGGGGTCAATACGGTTGTGCCTTTTCCAGTCGAATTATTTGCAAGGTGTTCTTCTCGTCATCATTTATATCTTCAAGACATGCTTATTTTATTTTATTTTGTATGAAAGTACGTATTCCTTTTTCCGACTTTCTGTTTTAAATTTTCTGCATATTTTGTCCTGTCATTTTTTTTCTATCTTTTTCTTTCTTTCTTTTTGGGCATTTGATTTTTGGATGACTTTAAATCTTGTCTTAATTCCCAGATTTTTTTTTGTAGACTTTTCTTTGCTCACCTTTCTTCTGCTTCTCAGTCAAAGAGAATACCATTACAACATGAAAGCTACTGCGTTTTTTTTTTTTTTTAAAAAAAAACATCGAAAAATACCACCTATATCGCAAAAAGGATGCATACCAGGGCTGTTGTCTTTAGTATTGTCATTAAATATTTTTCGACTTACACATTATTACGACAAACATATTTTTGATTTTGCAAGCAATCTCATGGTCAACACATTCTTTGGACATCACGTGATTTTACATCTATTGATCTTTAATAATCAATTCGTAATTTGTAACTTTTGTTGGTTAATTACAGTTACGCGCTTAGTTTGCATTAAAAATTTTCAGAATACTTATATTTATGTGTAATTGCACATGCTCCATTCAAATTTAGCTGCATGAATTTGATGAAAATCTACTGTTTCGGAGTTATCGACAGTAAAATTTCGGATTCATTCGCGTCGTTGGTGGCAGCCATTACTGTCGTTGTTTGCACAAATTCGCTACGGAAAGCTAAACCCGGAAGAGTAACGAAAGTTAAGCGTGGAACTGATTTTTCTTGTCTAAATTTTTCTCAATTACTGCGCAGGACAACTATTTACGTAGACACGCTCAATTTGCACAGAGATAGCTATTCTGCAGCGAATGTATGCAAAC